TATGGCCATTTCCACTATATTGGTTCTTCCTACCTAAGAGCAAGGGAAATCTTTCCATTTTCTGATATCCACTCAATCTCCTTTTTCAGAGTAGTATAGTTTTCAATGTAAAGGTCTTTTACATCTTTTATTAGATTGATTTTTAGGTATTTCAGTTTTTTGAATGCTATTGTGAAAGGTGTTATTGCCCTAAATTTTCTCCAAGTAAATTTGTTGTTTGTGTACATGAAGGCTATTGATTTTTGAGTGTTGAATTTGTATCTAGGTACGTTACTGAATTTGTTTATTAAATCTAGCAGTTTTTTAGTGGAGTTTTGGGGGTCTGCCATGTAGAATGTCATATCCTCTGCAAATAATGATAATTTAACTTCTTGCTTTCCTATCACTGTTCCTTTTATTTCTTTCTCTTGTCTAATTGCTCTGGCTAAAGTTTGCAGGACTGTGTTGAGTAAGAGTGGAGACAGTGGACATCCTTGTCTTGTTCTTGGTTTTAGAGTGAAACCTTTCCATTTTTGTCCATTTAGTGTGATGTTGGCTCTTGGTTTGTCATAGATGGCTTTTATCATATTGAGGTAAAGACCATTTTTTCTCACTTTCTGGAGGGTTTTGATCATGAATGGGTGTTGAACTTTGTCAAAAGCTTTTTCTGGGCTGGGGATGTAGTTCAGCGGTATAAGCACTTGCTGGGTAAGCTTGAGGTCATGAGTTCAATTCCTAATACAAAAAAAAAAAGCTTTTTCTGCATCTGTTGAGATGATCATATGGTTTTTGTCCTTGGCTCAGTTGATATGGTGTATTACATTTTTTGATTAGAGTATACTGAACCATCCCTGCATCCCTGGGGTGAATCCCACTTGGTTATGGTGTATAATCTTAATGATTTGATGCATTCTTTTTGCCAGTGTCTTACTGAAGATTTTTGCATCTGTATTTATTAGAGAGCGTCGCCTGTAGTTCTCATTCTTAGTTGGATCCTTCTCCTGTTTTAGTATCAGGGTAATGCTTGCTTTCAGGAATGAATTTGGGAGTATTGCTTCCCTTTCAATTTCATTAAAGAGTTTGAGAAGCAGTGGTGTTAGGTCTTCTCTCTGTTTCTTGTAGAATTCAGCAGTGAATCTGTCAGGGCCTGGGCTTTTCTTTGCTGGTAGGTTTTTAATTGTGTCTTCAACTTCATTGATTGATAGTGGTTTATTTAGGATTTTTGTACCTTCTTGATTCAGCTTTGGTAATTCACATGTTTTTAGGAATCTGTCCATTTCTTCTGCCATTTCCATCTTATTAGAATACAAGTTTTTAAAGTAGGTGTTGATGATCTTCTGGATTTCTGCAGAGTCTTGTGACTTCACTATTTTCATTCCTAGTTGTGTGGATTTGAGTCTTTTCTTTCTATTTTTGATAAGATTGTTAAGGGTTTGTTGATTTTATTTAATCATTCAAAGAACCAACTCTTCAGTTCACTGATTCTTTGTATTGTTTTCTTAGTCTGCAGTGCATTAATTTCTTCTCTCATCTTCATAATTTCCTCCCTCATACAAGTTTTAGCTTCACCTGTACTTTGTTTTCTAGAAGTCTGAGGTTCACCATTAAATTGTTCATTTGTACTTGCTCTGTTTTCCTGATATGGGTATTCACTCCTATAAGTTTCACTCTTAGGACTGCTTTCATTGTGTCCTATAAGCTCTGATATGTTGTATTGTCAGTGACATTTAATTGTAGAAACTGTCTAATTTCTTCTTTAATTGCATCTGTGACCCATTGATTGTTCAGGAGGGTGCTATTTAATTTCCATGTGTTTATGAAGTTCTGGTGGTTTCTTTTGCCATTGATTACCAATTTCATTGCACT